CGCGCGAATCGACCCGCCGCGCCGCCGCTGCGGAATACGCCCTACAGACGACTTTGTCTAGACGTCGTGTTACACACACACACACACACAGTAATACATACACAAGCACATTATTGCGACGGCGACCTACACGAATAACGAAAATAGATTGAGTATAATAATATATTTAAAAAAAAAAAAAGGTGTCCATTTGATCTTCTCTAAGTGAATGTGTGTGTGTGTGTGAGTACATCGGTGTCCACAGCGGTAACGCGCGGGCACGAGCCAATTGGCGGCGCCTCCGTCCGTGTACAATAATATTTCTTTATCATAAATATTATTTATTATTATACAACGGTACCGCCGCACATGTCCCCGAAACAACATGATAAAATATATAGGTATACAAATATATGTATATTTTATAACGCCGTTAAAATTATCAAAATAATATTATTACCATTGTTAGTTAACTACGCTGGCTGGCTCACCGGTTTTCCTAACGTTCGTAAGGGACATGCATATAATATGATACATCTATAATCAATATACTCTATACATAGGTACACACTAAACGAGATTAAAATTTACATTTACATTTTTATTTTCACCAACAATGGATTATAGTAGGTATGTGTCGATTTGAAACTTAATTATTTCAAACTTTTGGGTGGTGAGGAAAAAGTAGTAATGGTTTTAAATTCATGAATGATATGAATTGACAACATTTAAACAATTACCGTTACATATTAAAATTGATGGTTCCAATTTGCACTTTTATATTTTAATAATAATAAAAAAATTCTATACCTATGTATTGCAGAGTTACAACTTCTTACTAAAAATATGATTAGTTTCCTGTAAATTTTGCGCAAAAATCCACAAAAAGAGCCAACATTGTGCTAGTATATATTTTTAGATGTTTAAATAAATATTGAAAATTTGATACATACTCGAATTATGAGTCAAATTTGTCGAGTTTATTTTACAGGAATAGAATAACCAGAGTCTAAATCGTAAACGGACAACTTTTATTTAAAAACAAATAGTGTTATGACAGATGACTTATAAAGTGCTTAAATTGTACACTGGTCAGCTGCGCATTTTATAGTTTATATTTCAAGTATAGGTGTTAAGTATTTTGCTCATCTTTGTGACATATTGTTAAACGATTATTTTTGTTTTCAAGTTTTTTACCTTATGTATATTTTTTATAGTTAAAGTACAACCATATTGGCTACTTGTAGCAATTATGTACATATTACGTTCGACTTAAATTGACAACGAAATAGAAATACATTTACATAAATTCCACAAAAATGAAACAAGAATGGTAGGCCCACCTCAAGAGGAAAAACTTGAATGACTTCGTTAACAACGATCGTTTTAGAGACGTGACTGAACATTTAAAATCACAATATTAAAAATACAAATAGTCTTTTATTTTATAATTATTAATAGGTGTTCTCTGGGTACACTTAGGCCTCATTATATAGTGGTACCTAGAATCTTCTTGTTAGATAATGATATATGCGCCATACGTTTGTGCAACTACAATAGGCGCACAATATAAATTCCTTTAGGAAAGAATTTATTGAACCGAGTTCTCATACAGCTTGTGGCCTAGTTCAGAATACCTATAAATTCTTCTGTATATAAATATACAAGCACAACGTAACTATATAGTATAATAATATATAAATACAAGTCATGTGTGGCGGATTGATACGAAAAATAATAATAGTTAACAGAGTTAAATATAATTAAAATCGATATTATTAACACTGTAGCAAAAGGTAAAAAAACAGGATCGATCAATTTCATCAATTAGCTCAATTTCTCTAATATTAAAAAAAAAAAATCAAAATTCCTTAACTGTCTTCAGGTCACATTCTTCTCGTTTTACATCCGTTCTTAGTACGCTTACTGTTCTGCACTTTCTCTGTTTTAAAACATCACAGATAATTTCAGAAGTCCATTTTATATTTACAACGTAATTTTATATAATTGCTAATGTTAAAGTTATTTATGTTGGTGCAGAAAAACATAATTCATCGTACTATATATATATACATACATTATGTTCAATTATTGTTAATACATATTAGACATAGGAATTCTTAGGATTATTAATTTTAGGCTCTAACCGACTTTTACTTGATATTCTTCAAGTAAAAACTCATGCAAAATTAATAGCATTAACACATACAATAGGTACAAAAACACATAATATTCTATAGACTTCAATCAAGCCTTAGTAAATATGCTAGTAAACATGTTTATAATTCACAGGTTGGGTAGCTTAGTTATAGTCTTAAATTGAAATGTATAGTCTAGAGAATAAACCAAGGCAATTTGTATTTAGATAACAAATAATTGCAAGTAAGCAGTACTTTGAAATATTTATTTGTTTAGGGCAACAAATAGGCTTCATTTTGAAGTAATTTATTATTTAAAACTTCCAAGAAATACTATATTTAAGTATATTTTTATTTGATATTTCATAATATGGATAAATCAACTAATTTTTGTTTTATTAAAATTCTTGTTTTTTATAACCATAACATTAATTTTATTATTTCAATTCAAATATTTCTTTAAATTTAACTAATTAATTAAATAAAAAGTTATTTGAGTTAGAAAAATTAAATTTTACTTAAATCATTCTTTTATTTCAACGATTCTTTCCATTTCTATTAGGATACTAATAATTATTTAAATAAAATATAAAATGTATTTAAAATTAATAATTGGATATTTGTTTAAATACAAATAAAATTGTGTTCATTATTTAAATTTTGAATTAAATACATTTTCATTTTTAATAAATAGGATAGATTAAATATGAATATGATTTCAGGCCGACTTTGTTTTCAAGTTGTAATAATAAATAAATAGTTAAAACTTATAGGATTTTCCATTCCAGTTTTTTAGGAAGCAGACTAGCTTATTACACGATTAAATTACCAACAATTAGATAAAACTAATTGTGTTTAATTATCAAATTAATTATTGTACATTATGAGATCCACCAATCGCTTAAAGTTCACTTTAGATCATGAGCAAAACACTTGCATTGGTCATTACTCATTACACTACTGTTGTTAGTATGTTACATGTTTCAACATCTAACAAATCAAATATTTAAAACTTTTGTACAAAAAACGTCTAAATAAACAATAAGAGATATTTCGTGTTGTCGCAACAAATACATTTTTTCAATGTTAATGCTTCCATTAGTATCATTTTAACACGATCAAAAAGGCTTTGGAGCACTGACTGGAAGCAAGTTGATTGCTATATCGTATTTTCTTTAGTTTTAAATCATTTTAAAAATGTCAATTTGCATTAATGCAAAAACACAATAATGAGCACAAGTTAAGACATTAATACGAACGCACATTTTATGTATTTTATTTTGATCAAATTATTCATCAGTGTAATACGTAAGAGACCGGAGATCTGTCTTGTCAAAATCATGTATCTATAATAGATAATGCATGATGTTATAAGTTAGGATAGACGAAGACGGGCAATCAAAATTACAATATTATGATACAGTATAGTCACCCCCAAAATCAATTATTTTTGGGTAGGTTCAAGACCAGATTTAATAAGTTTTGTGCCCTGGAACAAATCAATAAGAATATACCACATTTATGTATAGGGTATTCACGCCAAACCTCCATTTTTGATTCTTCAGAATCTGTAATTTCTAAAAATTATTTTACACTAGTGTATGCACAGTAGTCCATTAAATAAGGTTTCCTTGATTTTTGTATTCTTCATCATCTCAAACAGCTTTTAGAGATATTCATTTTTTATAAAACTTTTCCAGTGCCTTGTAACTTATTAAAAAAATAAGTAATTAATAACAGTGTTCAAAATGTAATATGTACTAGGTTTTTTGATTTAAGATTAAATTATGTCTTCTCAATGTATAATATATAGAAATCAATTTTCACCAAAATTTTTGTAAATGGTTGTGAGCTAAACATTTTCTCATTGATTTAATTATTTTAGTTTAAAATAATTAAAATTTGAATGTTAGAAAATTTAATATTTTTGCAAATAGCATAAATATTTTAAAAAGAAAAATGTTGAAAATATCACTTTTTAAACTACCAGCAATAAAAAAACCCTTTAGCATAAAAGTACTTTCAAAATTATAAAAAAAAAATTTATACCTTGGGAAGGGTTTGAGATAAAAATTGTAAAAAAAACTTTGCATCGAAGCTAAAAACACAAACCATGTTTCTATTACAAGAATTATATTTTTGTGGAAAAAAGACCGTAACATAAAATTTTAAATACTCAAAATATTCTGAAAATTAAAAAATAATTTTGAACATTTACAATTGTTAATTTGTGCAATTTTTTTTTTAAATACAAATGTTTATTTTCAACTTCATTTATGTAACATCAGTCAATTTATTACATGTATTACAATACCATTTTACAGTGTTTTATATATAAAACTATTTTGCCAGGCACGTAGTCAGGATTTTTATTGAATAGGGGGAGGAGGAAACATTATTTTTGTTAATTTAAGGTCTTTTAACGGGTACCCTAATGAGTAATTAAAAAATATGCTGGTGTTTAATTTCGACGGACCGTTTACACCACTGGATACGTGCCTGCTTTTGACAGGTAAACTGAAATCTAAATGCATAAAAATATATAACATATCTGCATTCAGTTCAATTTTGTTTCGAGACCAAAAAGCTAACTATTAAAATTATATATGTAATAATAAATAAATATTTAATGGCAACTATAGCAAGCAAATAATTATAAGTTCAATGTATAATTTCTTTTTCAATTATTATTTTGTCACGTATACAAAACAAATAATTATTTACAAGCTCAAATAATACAACAATAACAATGAATTAAGTAATGATTTTTCATTATGAACTACTAATACTTGCTTCTCATTTTTCTCTCATAAAAGACATTTATTAAAATGAACTAACAATGGTGACTTGTCAATGAATAATCAAATACTTGACTTCACCATCTTCTTAATTTGTTTTTTTTTTTAATAAATGTCTGTTATTTTGAGCTGTTTTTTTTTTATTGATGTAAATAGACTAGACGTATGAGCTTTAGTCGAATAATTTTGCACTTAATAGGATCGGATCATAGGGGGTACTGTTTGTACTTCTTTGTCGTCTAATGTATGATCAATTACCGGTCTGTAGGTCAATGTGATCTAGAATAAATAATCAAAGCATATTAAATTGCATTTTATTTTTAATTATTCCCTATGTAATTCAAATTATACTAGACTAACCTTTCCAGAATCTGGGTTGATATGTGCTAACGTATGCTTTCTCCAATGGTCTTCCATTTTTACTTTGGTTTGACCATCTAATGGTTTTTTATAGTCATACTCGTCAACGCGGTCCTAATAAAATAATTATCGTTAAAAAGTTAGTAGGGGTTTGAATAAAATAACTGAAATACTTTGAAATCGTCTCTTGCATGTGCGCCTCTAGATTCTTTTCGTGCAGCAGCAGATACTATTGTTTGTTGGGCTGTAATCATTAAATTTTGCAGCTCTAAAGATTCTACTAGATCAGAATTCCAGACCATGGTTTTATCATTTATCTAAAACAACAACAATCAATTACTTAAATTAGTTTGATAAGTTTCTATTTAAACATAAAAAATTCAGTTGGCAAAAAGAAAACCCAAAATCTTAATTTTAAGACCAGTCACTATTTGGTTTTTACCTAAAAATTTAGGTATTACTGGGTCTATGCTTACCCAAAAAAACTTAACTGTGTTAGGCTTCTTTAAAAAAACTGGGTTATTGTCAACTCTGAATTGTATACATATAATTTAATTTAAAAACAACAACACTAACCTTAATATCCTTGAGCTTTGAATAAATATCTTGCATTTTTACACTGCCTTCATCTAATGTTTTACCAGTTCTAAACACAGCTGCATAAAGTTGCATAGTTTTTTGCATGTCCAAACGTAAATCAGCTGTCGGTATTGTTCCATTCTTAAAACGTAAGTGATCAATATTTGCGATGGATTCTTCTCCGGCATTCTACAAGTTTTTAAAATATATATTTTTTTAAATTTAATTACGTACATAATAAAATATTAAATTATATTTACATCACTTATTTTTGGTATTTTATCACCAGGTTTATTATATTTGGCTATATCTAAAGCACACGATCGTCCAAACACTACCAACTCGAGTAATGAATTTGCACCAAGACGATTAGCACCGTGCACAGAAGTACAAGCGGCTTCACCACAAGCATATAATCCAGGTACCACATTATCTTCATTGTTTTTGGGATTGATGACCTGCTCATTTTCAAATGACATAATTTTGAATTTAACTATTAATAGAACTAACAAATTTAAACTACAAACCTGTCCTCGATAATTGGTTGGAATTCCTCCCATGTTATAATGTACAGTCGGGAGTACAGGAATAGGTTCTTTAGTGACATCTACTCCAGCAAAGATCATAGCCGTTTCAGATATACCCGGTAATCTAGCGTGCAACTGCTCTGCAGGCAAGTGATGCAACTGGAGGTACACATGATCTTTTTCTGGACCACATCCTCTATAAAAATGATTTGGTTAACATAATATTTTAAGTCCCTAAGCATAGTCAAAGACTAGTATAGTTGTAGGGTATACGCTAAATGTACCTACTCCAACTGTTCTACCCGCGGATAAAGTAAACCGTTTTTGTTACGAGTACATGCATATATAGAAAACAAGAGGGTGGGTGCACATCACATGTACACAAGTGTTTAGAAACAATTTGTTCTTGTAGATTATATTGAATTAATATTATTGATAAATTAACCACAAAATTGCTGCTGTTTTACATGATTAATTTTTTTTATATAAAGTAGCAGCCATATTGTGAACAATATCAATTGAAAACAAAATTTGCTGTCGTACATGTGTTTTTTTTAAACCAATTTTATTATTGATTACCATGAAGTATAAGATAACCAAACTTATCAATATATCAGATAATAACCTATGCAAATTAACATGTTTATTTTTTGTAAGAACATAATGATGAAAGAGCTAATTTTGAAAAAAATAAAAGCAACTGTAAATGGCGTTGGTTTTTACTTAATATGGCATTGAACATGAAAGTTTAGTTTTGAGGAATAAATAAATAGATTTGACCATACCTTCCTTCCATGATTTCAATTGTCATAGATCGGGACACAACATCTCTTGACGCTAACTCTTTTGCATTAGGTGCGTATTTTTCCATAAATCTTTCTCCCAGACCATTTATTAAGTAACCACCTTCCCCACGACAACCCTCGGTCATTAGACAACCAGCGCCGTAAATTCCTGTAGGATGGAACTGTACAAATTCCATATCTTGCATAGGAATTCCAGCTCTGGAAGCTAGAGCTTGACCGTCACCGGTACACGTATGGGCGGCTGTACATGAAAAGTATGCTCTGGCATAACCTCCCGTAGCTAAAACCTATAAAATCATAATTTCATGTACATACATTTAATAAGATGTATTTTAGTTTAACCACAATAATTTACTAACAGTGTTCTTAGCTCTAAAACGATGAATAGTGCCGTCTTCCAAACACAGTGCAATAACACCAACACATTGTCCATTGTCCATGATTAGATCCAAAGCAAAATATTCCACAAAATAATTACAGTTAAATTTCAAAGAATATCCATATAGTGTATGCAATAAAGAATGTCCAGTTCTATCAGCTACACAACAAGTCCGATGAGCTTGACCACCCTTTCCAAATTTTAAACTTTGACCTCCAAACGCTCGTTGATATATTTTACCTTCGTCAGTTCTACTGAAAGGCATGCCTTAAAAAAAAAAAATTGAGATCATAATATTATGATCATATAATATTATGATCACATTATACTCAATATGTATGCAAGTTATGCTATTTTTAGAACATTAATATTTACCATAATTTTCTAGTTCAATAACAGCCGCAGGAGCTTCTCTAGTTAAATAATGTATAGCATCTTGATCACCTAACCAGTCTGAACCTTTTACTGTATCAAACCTTTATGCAAAAATAAAAATGATAATTATAGTTATTAATCTAGAAAAAACTTGAGCAACTTATAGTTGTATATAATAAAATAATATTTAAATAAAACCCTTAACCAAAAAAAATTATATACTCTCCGCATTTCGGCAACTATGTCGTCATCTTCAGTGGTAACGACAGACTGTTGTCTGACTGAGTGTCTGTCGTTAGCGCTGTAGATGACAACTTTATTGCCAAAATACGTCGCATATGCGGAGAGTATATAATTTTTTATGGTTTAGGCTTTTAAATAGTACTTTATTATAATTATTAATATTATTACAATAAAATAAAACCTACTTGTTCATGCAACCTAATTTTAACAATAATCTGTTAACTCAATGATTTGAAAGTTTTAATTGAAACAAATAATATACCTCTAAAATGAAGGTTATGGTGGCGATTTTCTAAAAATTCAATTGGTCTTGTATCTTTATATAGGATATATAAATAATCATCTTTAAAAATGAATGATAATAAATAATATTAAGGAATATTATTCCTTAATATTATCAAGCTTAAGAGTGTGCAGTAGTTGTAAGCTACTACAAAGTGTAAAACTATATGTGCTTACTATTAAAATATAAATTTTGATTAAGAATCAACTTTAAACCATTAAAAAAATATATTTAGAATTTAGAATGTATATTTACATATGCCAACGCCAATCATCGTCTTCCATGTTGCCTAAAGCAGCATTTATCCCCCCTTGAGCAGCTACTGTATGAGATCGTGTGGGAAAAAGTTTTGTTATCACTGCGGTTTTGAAACCTTCTTGCACTAAACCAAAGGCAGCACGAAGACCGGCCCCTCCAGCGCCAACGACAACAGCGTCATACTCATGATCAATTACTGAATATGCATTAGATCCCTAAAAAATTTAATTATAATTATAAAATGATCAGTTATGGAATGATAGTTTTTCTTAATGGAGTTGGACCCAATTATAAATTATGTAACTAAATTTTATTATGATTAAGGCTTCAACAAATAAGTTATTAAACAAATTAATTAGTGCCTTTGACTAAAATTTATTATTATTTAATAAAAATACTTACTGATTTGGATGAATAATTTTGAGTTTGATGAAATTTTTTTGAAGAAACAAATGGACGGCTCCAAGTATCCTATAATTATAACGATAAATTAAACTTTATTATTTTTCTTTTAAATTTATAACTTGTCTTAATTGCTTATGGCTGTTGGTGTCTGTATATTAATCTATTTGAAGAAAACATTAACAAGACAAAATAGAAAGGAATGAGAATATAGTATTTCTTTAACACAACAATTAGTTGAAAAAGTAGTCAACTGATAATATGCATATAAAAAAAAAAATAAACATAAAAGTTATAAGATCATAGTTAAAAATTTTAAAAGTATGATATATCTTTAGATATTTATTTTGTATACACCAATACAATTCAACAAAATAATTCCTTTTAACACCTAATTATCCACCAGAATACCTTAGGTAGGATTTAACTATTTACTGTTAATCATTTAAATAACATAATTACTTATATCATACATTTAAAATGATGTAACAAATATGATATATATTTTGACACATTTTTTAATTAAAATATTTCTTATCTTTAAAACAACAGTACAAAGACTAAGGGTCGTTCACATTGAATTGGCTAGAAATACATGTTTCAGCGAATAAAGTTACAACACTATTTCTGAGTGGTCATGAGGCACAACATTTTGCTCAATAATGGCATAAATTTATTAAATATCAAAAATTTATTAAGAAATAAATATTTTCATTCAAACTCACCCAACATCATTAAAAATACCTTTTTTAAATTACCAAAATATTCTTTGACACTCTAAAAAAGTAATACACAGGTAGCATGATAGATCATGGACAGCTTGATTACTAATAGCCTAATGAAGATTGGGGAAAAAATATTTTAACTCTCTATTCAAATAGATTCAAGGAACAAATTGACTTTACCACCCCAGACCCGAATTTCAATTTTTTTTTTAATCAATTTGTTTTTCAATGCTGCAAAAAAAATTGCGGAAACGCTTAGTTTTGAAGTTACAACTACTTAAACTTAGAGAATTAACGTTGAGCGAGACGACCGTGGCACGGTGGACACAGGCTCTGTAAGCCGTGTCACATGCGCGGCACAAAAAAAAAGGACTACAAAGGGCAGAGGCCTAGTCGCGTCGGCAGCTATTGAGTTAGAGAAGTCCGTCTAATTATGACTGGATTCGTAATTAGTGTAAAAACACTATTATATGGAAAATAAAAAAATCCCACGAACTACTGTATTCTTTAATCGCGATTCACGTCGTTGACTGCTGCATGATGACGTGGACGGTACGAGCGTCTCGGGCAACAATAATTCTCTAAGTTCAAGTAGCTGTAACTTAAAAACTTTTTTTTTAACACCATTGTTTTGAGCATTGAAAAAAAATCTATATTTGGGTCTGGGGTGAACAAACTGATTTAAACCAGGTTCAATAATTAAGTTTTCATAAAAGAAATGAATACAAGTCACCAGTTCATATTTTAATATTTATATTTACAAATAACAAAGAATTATTTTATTTCGGCTTTGAAATATTTTTTTTGTTAAAGAGCTGTTACCTAGGTATGATAATTTAAACCTTAACAATTTTTTTAGTAAATTTACTATTAATGCAACTATGTATACATATTAGTAAACTTTATTTTTATAGTAAATAACATAATTACAATATTATAGGAAAATAATGATCCATATAACTGTTATATACATTATGCACAAGCAATTCTATAAAATAAGCCTGCACATTAAGGAAAGACTATGAAAGTTCATTACGTAATAAGTAATAGATAATTACCTTAAATGGGTAAATAGGTTGATTAAAAATATAGAAATATCAGAAATAAGACTAAACCATTTTTTTTTTCACAGTAACAAATTAAAAAAATTAGCTATTTCATTTTCAATTACGTTACTAATTAATTGATTTCTGCAATATAATCATTCAGTACAACACATTCATAGTACAATGTAAATCGTTTTTTCATTATTATATCATATTGTGCAATACATTTTAATGCACATTGGTTTTTCGAATTTTAAAATAAGAATACTCACAAGTTTTGAGTAAGTACTTCGTGAAATGGGTTTTACAATGTTTAATATGCCAGCCATATTTTTTGTATAGGTTAATTATTAAGCACAGCTCGATTACATATGCAACGTTCTACTTTAAATAATTGTAAAAAATAACTACAGAAGTCAAACGTTAGATACTGCAGTACTGGAATAGCAATTATATTTTAATTTATTTTCTAATCAGCTGAAAAACAACAGTTGTAGAACGGGCGCGGGGCGACTAGCGAGGCGAGTACCGTCTACCAAGTGTCAAGTAGTGCTGTAGGTTCCAAAGACTCGTTTAACCAGTCAGGTTGGACACGACCACGGTTGGTTTCGTGGAGTGTATAAACTCAGTAACCTCATTTTATTGATTATGGATGACGACATAATTTGTGACCTTTCTATCCCTACCTAAATCGTTGCACTGAATTATTCGCGGTCGCCCACAGTGGTTTTTGCAGTAAAACGTTATAGTTCTTTCACTGCCAAGCTCCCGGAACAGGAACACCCTGAAATCGTCATTTTCACCGGTAAATTAAATTTTTGGTTACTAATTTATTATAAAATATTTGTTACTCTCTCTATTTTAAGTTATTTGTATTTTCAATGCTATTTCATAGTTGAAAACGATCTTTCTGTCGTTTTTTTTTTTAAGTCATATTGTGCAATTGGATATTTTGTACTGTGCATTACTTAAGTTGCACGTTTTTTTTTAATTTCAGCTATTCTTACCAAAACTCAACTGAAAAATGGGCGATGCGGACAAAGGAGCAGCAGTAAGTATTGATATTTAATTAGGTTAATTAAATTAAATTACTATAAATCATTTTTTAATGTTTTTTTTTTTTTTTTAAATTATTAGGTTTTTAAAACCAAGTGTTCTCAATGTCATACAGTCGAAGCTGGTGGCAAACACAAGGTAGGACCTAACTTACATGGTCTATTCGGTCGTAAAACTGGTCAAGCTGCCGGATTCACCTACACCGATGCTAACAAACAAAAAGGTATGCGTTTTTAATTTTTACTGTTAAGGATTCAAGTAAATTCCTCTTGCACCATATTGCCCAATTTTTTTGGTATTGGATACCCTTGTACTTAACCTCTATACTTTACAATTTTATTGCTATCCTCTACTCCCCATTTTTTTACCATTCTACATTTGTTGTTATTACAATAAATATTAATACTATTTGTTATTTAGGAATTACATGGAATGAGCAAACGCTATTTGAATATCTAGAAAACCCAAAGAAATATATTCCTGGAACCAAAATGGTATTTGCTGGTATTAAGAAAGTAGAAGAAAGGAATAATGTCATTGCCTATTTGAAAAAAGCCACCGCGTAATACCAGTATTATATGGAAAATGCAGACTAAATGTAATAGATAAATTTATCAGCAAAACCAACTTGTTATTTTTTTTTTTTTGTGATTGTATCTTTACCTTATTGTACACGTACAATTTCTAAATTAACTTGTTACCTGTTTAATTTATTTGTTGTACAGTGCTTAAGTAGATTAAATTGAATGTTTTAGAGTTATAACATTTGAAATTATATTGAAGGTCAACTAGAAATATAAGTAATTGTACCAAATTATTTCTAAGTAACATAACTGATATGGATTGACATTGATCTTATCTATTATAGTTTCATTAAAAACGATCTAAAAGTAAAAAATGATAATTATTTAAAATATATCCAAAAACTATAATTGCTTGTAACTTTTATTTGGCATTGATAATAGGTCAGTGGTATTTTATTTAAGGAACTAGGTCAAACTCTTGGCAACCCATTCTACCAATCATGTCATTGATAGGCAGTTATTTTACAATTTTTTATAACTGTTTTACACTTTATACGTCTTGTTAAATAAGATTAATATTCGACTACAAATTTACTTGAAGCAATGTCTCAATGTGGGTGTATTTATGTGTTTATCATATTAGTATCAAACAAATTTCATTCCTGAATTAGCTCAATTCACTATTAAAATTGGTAATAAGTAAATTTCATTTTAAATATTACATGTTATTATAATTAAAACAAGTGCACATGTGTATGAATTTTTAAGTTGTTAAGGGAAATGTATGAAAGTTACGCCCTATCCTAATAACATGTATCAACTTCTGTGACCTCTGACACCAAATTATGAATCTCTTGGCTTCTTGCAATACATAAAAATTGTTGATAAATATGCATAAAACCGTTGGCGTAAAATATTTTGTCAAAACAATTTCATTCTGAAGAAATTTGTAGTGAAGGCTGTTAACAATACTTCATATTCTGCACTCTGCGGGGCTTAAGTAGAATAACGCCTTAAAGAAAATAAAAAACTGAAATTAGCCAAATTGAAAGTTGAAACCGTAAAGTCTGCAAATAGTTCCGTCAAAATATTGGTTCGACTCGTAGTTGAAGTATACAGGTTATTGCACTGTGCACATCGTCTCCAACTTGTGATCTTCAGAAATAATGACAGCGCAACGAGATATCAATTTTACTATATATTACCAAGGTTATTAGATATTATTTTATCTATTATCTAATAACCTTAATATACTACTAAATTAGATTCTACTTGATTTTGATTGGCCGCCCGTTACGCTGACATAATTGTTTTTATCATCGAATATTTGATAAAGAAGAATATATATGCAAGGGTTAATCATATTTAATAACCTTGTCGATACCTTTAAGCACACAACTCACAAGTGCTATGTCCATACAATATAACGTGGACATAGCACTTGTGTGCTTAAAGGTATCGTTGTATATTATTTCAATCATGGTTTAAATGCTTCAACTTTCAAGCACATGAACACAAAATAAAATTCAGTGGTTTTAAGACAACCTAACAGATATATATATAATGAACTAGATTGCTGACTAGTAGTAAGAATTGAAGTCGACAGTCGGCCATTTTTGTGTGATAAGGTTCTAATTCCCATAAAGGTGGTAAAGTGGCAACTTCAATTTTCTCTATTGGCGGCATGTACAGTTAGCAATATATATCTGGGGACAACCTTCATTTTACAGCCATTAGAAAAAAAATTAACTCGTTTGGGAAATCGATTAATATTTTTTTATTATTTTTGTTTATTACACATAATAGACATCCATTTTCTCTACTTCTAGATGTACCTATTAATTTTAGATAATAACTTCACTAGTTATTTTCAAAATAGATCAATTTTGTCATTATTTGATTATTTTACTAATATAATATGAAATAGACCTTAGGATTATAATTATACAACATAATTACTCAATGAAACATATAATCACATATATTCTATGTGTATTATAAATGATTTATCTTAATGAATTTAAATTATGAAGTCTTATAATATACTTTATAGCAGGTTAAACCACTTAATATACCAAATAGCCGACAAGAAAACAATATTCATTTTTTACTATAGATGTAGGGCGTAAATAATATTAATTTTACAACCCTTGTTTAAATAGAATAATTATAAAAGTATATATTATATAAAAAGTTATTATTTGATCTACTCAAAACAATGTTACAAATGTACATTTAACAACATAGAAGTAAAACTGTAATTTACATTTGTTTGAACTTAAGTTCATTAATATTATAAATAAGTTAATTATTTAAAAAAATACATTTATTTGCTAAACAGTATTCAGTTATATTATATTTGAATACATAATATTTTATATCATAGTTTGATGAAAAATAACATAAATTTGGAATTATATACTTATAATAGGTGGTTTCAGCTTCAATGCAATGGAATTTTTTTTTGTTAAATATTTATATATATATATATATATATATATATATATATAACAATAATTTTAGCATCAATAGGACAAGCTAAAATTAAAAGTATGTACAGTACAATAGCATCAGCAAACAACTGCCCAAGATGTGAAGCAATTATAACCTTCAATTTTTGTTAACAATAAAATATATGTCCCTTTTATAATTTATTTGCGAAATGGCAATTTTTATTCTTTTGAAAAACAAATAATCTTCCCTCAAACTCAAAATAATTATATATTTAAAAATTGGTTTTTCTCACCAGACATTTCTAACTATACACTGAAATTAACTCATACAAGAAGGTTCTAAAAATGGGGTATTGTATGAAAGAAAATGGAGTTAGCCCATGATGAAGCGAAATTTAGGTTAATTATTGTTCTTCTATGATGTCCATAATCCACAACATCAACTTCAGTTTCATCTTGTGTTATAAAATTATTGTACACAATAGTATAGTTTGTGACTCCGCAAAGTATTCAACAACTTGAACAAACATTTAATTACGATTTAACAAAATTAATGAATTGTTTTATTTAAACATACAAGTTACATTTGAATTTTAAACTGTAATTTAATATTTATGGCTGCAAGTTCAGAGCATAAATATCTGAACACATTTGGAATGCCAATTTCTTGAATTTGGTTAGAGTCACAGGTTCTACACATGGCCGTTTTACTTGTATAGTTCTCTTCGATGTGTATCATAGATGTCAAAACTGAATAACACTTCATGCACAACAGTGCCTATATTAAATTAATATAAACAAAACATATTAATATTGAGTACAAAATAAAAATACAACTAATACTCTAAATATTTTTTTAAATTTTGTTTAAACTTTCCATTAGAACTCTAAATACTCATATATTTCAAGTAATACTAAAGTATGCATTATTATTACTTTAAATAAAATAACAGGTACCCAAGTAATATCTGAAATTAACTGGTTAAAATCAATAGCTCTACTTTCCATTGTGAATGAAAAAAAAATTACTTAATAAATGTTTAAATACTGACTGTTGATTTATCTGAACAATCCATAAAACGATCTTGCAATAAAAATGGTGTTCCGTGCGAGATTAATGCATCCCTTTCCATTTCACCAACTCTACCACCACCACCTCTTTTTCGACCTTTAACAGGTTGTTTTGTTACTGCATCAACAGGACCTGTGCTACGTACCTATTATTATATATATGATAAATATTATAATTTTTACAGTGCACGTTTATTATTATAGTCAATATTATATTTATTTTAATATACCTGCCATTTGTCTGATACCATATGTCTTAACCTTTGATAATGAACAACTCCAAAGAATATGGCAGCTTTCATTTCTCGGCCGTCTACACCACTATACATTTTTTCTGTTCCAAAATAGTTATAACCACCTAAACATTTTTTTAAAAATAATAAATAAACCGTACTTGGGAGTTTTATTGTAATAAAAAATGTATAACAATATAGCAATCAGACTGAAATGGGCCAATTTAACCAAGGTATAAAACAATATTAGTACAAAAAGTAAAATTTTAAATGTAGATACCGGCTTGTAAAAGTTGTCCAAAGTAATCAATCGCTGTATTTTCCTCATTATACTTAAATGCAGTGGCGTCGTGTACCAAGCCATGTACAGATGCAGATTTACCTGCCATACATTCTATCATCATGGCTAGATAGAACAATATTTCAATAAATTAAGTAATAATAAAACATGAAATTATTTCTTTAGAAAAAATGTTTACCGATTGTCATTCTTGAAGGAAATCCATGAGGATTGAACACAATATCAGGAACCATTCCACTTTCTGTAAATGGTAAATCTTCCGACGGCCATCCTTTACTAAATATACCTTTTTGTCCTGCTCGACTAGCGAATTTATCTCCAACTGAAGGATTTCTCTAAAAACATAATAAATTGTAATTAAAAAAAAAAAATGTAAATAAATTATATTTACACTAACCTGAACCCTTATGGTAATTGTAGCTTTATTTGGTATTTTCCGACCAGTTGTGAAATCACCACACAGACGAACTGAGTCAACAATAACGTCTTCGTTACTTGTATATTTAGCAACCATAAATCCTTGTGTTTGTTCATTAAAATAACTTTTAAAACAATTGAAGTTCAAAATGTAAACAAGATGATTAAATCTGTTTTTAATAATTTATTTTTACTATTACCTGTAATATGGTGTTCCTTTTTTTAATATTAAACCAACATGAGGAAGACCATCTTCGCCCAAAAATTCCGTAAGCTCTTGCTTGTGTGGATCAAGCATGAAATAAGTATCGGGCTATAAAAAAAGGAATTGAATAAAATGTTTATCATTTGAGATCTAAATAATATTAAATTTTTACCGGCGTTTCAATTAAATCAGTTTTAAATATAGAACCATGGGCGAAACCACGATCTAATGCCATTTTATTTATTATCATTGCGTCTTCCATATCGAAACCCTTAAATTAAAAAGATAAAATGTCACAAATATATTCATTTATAAATATACACACATTTAAGAATTCAATTTACAGTATATGATATCACAGCTATTACAGCGTTTGTGCCCATTGCAAAGTCGTCCATCGACAATTCATCATAATGTACAGGTCTAAACAATGGCGATGCTGGCGTTTGTATTCTGTACAATTTAGTTTCCGATTGCAGATGCCAGTTGTGACAAGCAGTACCCATAGTTTGTTTACCCATCTGAATGCATGTTAAAACAATTATATTAGTATTTAGTAGTTAAACTAGATTACAGTAATTATTGCAGTGCAGAAAACAAGTAGAATATTTAGCAACTTGACAGGGAATTGAACACAAGTCTACCATTAGCGGGGTGGTCTACCATAATGCCGTCTGACGCCAATGCCTTACCTATACTTCCCCATCATATTGACTATACTAGTCGTTTATTGTTATTAAGAAAAAAGCTAATACAACGGTGTCAGGACATATTAGAGCCTAGCAATGGGGTCAGAGAGGCCTAAAATTTTCAGATTTATTATAACAAAGTAAAATGTTTCGTTGCAAAACTGTAGATGACAAAAACTAATAAATAGTTTTGTAGACAATAAATGTGTATATAATCATGTATTTTGTTAGTTTTTGTGTTTCTCAATAATGGTGGGACTACAAATTTTAACTTTTCTCACAGTAACAAATGTATAATGCTATATAATTACCAATAAGAATTAAAAAGATATCCAAACACAAATATAAATTTAAAAAAAATAAAGTCTGTTGTGACTACTGTTGAAAAGTGTATAACTTTTTGTAATGAACGGTGTAATATTATATTATTACTTAACACATAATTGTAAAACCAATAGCTTCTCCGCTGCGCAACAAAGCTACAATGAATAATTATTACTTCATAAGTTACCTGACACTGATACATGTTACGTGGACTTTGGTTATAGTCTGGTAGAGGAATAAGACATGCCAAGTGGCTCAGAAAATCGGTTTTTGTTATTTCTCTATGAGTTGTAATCTAAATTTAAAAAATAATATATTTAAAGTACAATATGTTTTTACTATTGTGAAAGTATACTAACATTAGGCCTAATTTCATCAATAGATATGCTTATATCCAGATAAACTTGCTCAAAAGTACCTATGAGTTCTACTTGTTCCAGCTCTAAATTGTAAACTGGTCTCATCATTCTGGCATTTCCGGTAAACAAAAATAAACCGGGAAACTGGCCTAATAGATTTTTACCACTCTTTTGTAGCCACACAATCTCAGTGGTATTAGGTATCTAAAAATTACATTTATAACTTAAAGATATAATTATTATTTCTTTTATTATACCTATAAAGTCTACTGTTTACCTGTTTTCCTTGTACTTTAAGCATTCTTAATTTCTTTACAAACCAACTTATTAAACTTTCAGGTATGTAGCCAATTATTCGACCATCAAGAATTACAGTATACATGTACTCAATACTAACATCTTGAGGTTTATATGATGCATCACACATACCGATAGACATTAATACCTTAGGCATATCACGTAATAATTTCCTATTGACTGATTTTGTTACCTATAATTTATATATAATTTTAAAAAACAAATAAATCATTAAATCACAACTATACTAGCCGATAAACATGTTTTTCTCATACTAACAATTATAAGTTATTAATTAACAACGACATTACAAACCATGCAAGATTTAGTTAAATGGTTTAGTAGCCCACATGGAGTTCCATCAGGGGTGTGTACTGGGCATATAAAACCCCAAGCATCCGGCAAAAGTCTTCGGGGTTCAGTTGTTCGCATTGTTTCAAATATAGCACCTCTATGTACTGCACGAAAATGAGCCATATAACGCATTCTACTGATATTTTCTACTAGTATAGTCAGTCCTAAAAGTATAAAACACAAACATTTTAAATAATGAAATTAAAACTTATAATCATATCAGAAAAAAAATTAAAGTTTTAAGTTTAAACTTTAAAATATGCATGCAGATTATACACGTTTTTCTAAATAAAACCATTTTTGTCAGTTGTATATAACTTTTAAGCTTTGTACCATTGCTTCATTAAGAATTTTGCTTCAAACGTTGTGAAGCACTCAATTTTTGATAAAAAAAGTCAAGCAAACTTATACCAGATTTTGACGAGAAAAAATAAAAAATGTTTAAATACAAATTGAGTGCCAAAAATGATTTTAAAAAAATACAATTTTTCGACTACACTCTTGCAGTTTTTTGAACTATTTTGTAATACATTTAAAGCAGATTGATCAAATACCTTTTGTGTAAGCATTAATAAATAATCATAATTTTTAAGTAAACCTAATGAGTACATATTTTTTAGTAGTTTTTGTACTCATTAAGAAAAAAAAGAAATATTTGAAAATATTGACTTTATAAAGCAGCTTTCCCAATTATCCCTCCAAAAAAAAAATTTAGAATTAATTATTATAATTATAATTTGATTACCTTTATCTTGCTGCATTCCTAAACCTGATGGACTTTGTAGGTTGCCCGTGGAAAAAAAATTATTTAACGAATGTTCAATAAAATCACAGCGTTTCAACGCAGACATTATATCACCAACAACTGGTGGTCCACCTTGGTCATACTTCAACATATTACTTTTGATTAATCCCATCCAAGACTGTAATTTTTCTTTAACAATCTATCAAAAATTTCAAATTTATAAATTAATGTTTGTGATCCTTATATTTATATTATATAATTTTTTACTTTTAGATAAAGATGACCTCCGAGCATTAGTTCCTGCATCATAACCGCATCGGCCCCTTCCAATGAACATTTATTTTGAGCAATAGAAAATAATTTTTGTAACATAAAAACCAATAGTTTGAATTTATCATAATCAGTATGCAAATGTATTAAAACATAACTCCTAAAATAAAAGAATGCATGGATAATATTTTATAGGTTTTATGGAAATCATTTAAAAATATTCAACCTCATCAAATGATCACACACTTCTTTATTGGTTTTCCATTCTGGTAATTCATAAAATTTTGGGCGGAACATAGTACCTATATATTCTTTTGCATCTTCTTGGCTATGTATGTTGCTCTCGTGCAAAGACCTCATCATTTCCATTACAGACCTAAAAAACAATACTTATTTTAAACAATGTGCTAAGAAACAACAATCATTTAACCTATTTACCCTTTAAAATAGAGATCATCTTCGTGTCCTTTAATAATGTGGCGAAAAATATTTTCATCTGAATTGTTCGTAAGACATTTTAAAATTAAAAACACGGGTGCATAAAATATTTTCTTTTTAATTGGAATCATTAATTTAGCTGTGCCATCAGTTAAATAATGCAACGTATTAGTCTAAAATGTAAAAATAAAAATGAGAGGCAATTTTTTGCACAAAACTAAAATAGTATTAGTAAAGAAGTCTTACAACAGTAGTTAAATCATCTTTAACGGATCTGATCATAATTCCTAAATCAGAAAATGACTGATCTCGATTTTTCCAAGTATTTCTTTTTACAGCCGTTGGAAAATTTCTTCTAGTTCCTAACAATAGACGTATTAAACGTTCTTTACCTTTGACTACAAAATAACCACCCCATTCGTCTTGATGTTCCCCATTTTGTATTAATTGTTCTGGAGACATACCGGATAAATGACATAGTTTTGACTACAAATAAAAAGGTTATCATAAAAAAGTTTTTTCTATAACATAAACAATTATTTTTGAATAAAAAAAAAATTGTAACCTTTAACATAATGGGTACTTGACCAATGTCACGGGTAATCAGCATTTGCTCTTCTCCATTTATTGACCATCGTAGTTTCACTACTAATTTTCCAGAATAAGTACTATGACGTTGACGGCATTCTAGAGGGTATATATTTGCCGATTTAACACCTAATGATCCTGATGGTACTTGAGGTGGATGTATAATAGCTTCCTATTAATTGAAGAAGGAATAATAATTCCGTTTAACAATTTGTATTCAAGAGAAATTAGTAAAACAATAACTAATAGTAAACATATAACAAACTATTCAAGTTCAGCAAATGGAATTAAAATAAAATTTTTAAAATAATTTAAATCATAAGCCTGTTTACACACAACCAGATTGAAGAAAACATTGTTATTGAATCAACCAAAGATTTACCCATTTAATCATAAATTAATATATAATAGATTTTTAAAGTTAATATAAAAAGCTTGACTAAAATACTCTATATCATGTATTATATTTAATAAAAATAAAAAAAAGCATCCAACAGCAAATTCAGTTTGAAGAAATCTGAGATATATAATTGATTCTGTACAAATCTATATTTTACATTTTGTAAAAAGTTAATACTTAGTAATTTTTAATTTGAAACTAATGAAGTTAACTAAATGTTTGGTTTTACACAGTATTTTCAGTTTTAAAAGCAGCATGCTTGTACAGAAGAAGAAGCGAGTCCAGAAGTAAATATGTTTACCATACATAGTCCTTAATTATTTTATGCTGAAATTTTAAAAATGATTTACCAATAATGTAAGCTTAATTCGATAACTTCCTTTCGTATTAAATTCAACTGGCAATAAGTCATTAACAGCCAAGTTCAGTCCTTCGTCTAACATATAATTAAATGAGTCAATATGTGGATTGCCCAAACTTTGTAAAATCTAAGTGGAAAATAAACTAAGTAAGTAAAAATATACACTTGATATATTTTTTTTAATAAATAGTATAATATTACTATACTATACTTACTTGGTTTTGAAATTCTGGAGGTTTACCATAATCGGAGCAAGTTAAATGTTTAAGTGTTGGCTCGTACATTGTCATTTTTTTTTCCTTTTTAAATTATCCGAAAGTGACGAAACAGCCAGGTGACAGGATCGGCTTAGTTTAAATGTTCGATTCAAATAATAAATAATAAAAACCACGTGCACTTCGACATTTAAAAAACGATTGATAAAATGCATTAACTGATAACAGTCAATCCTTATCAAACTACAGAATTCTGTGGTTTTTACTAAATAGTAAATACTAATACTTTCTATTTTTTCAACTATGTTTCACTTTTCAGTATTCTACAGAATATCAATCTTTATAGAAATGCAGGTCTATAACATTCTAGGTACTACAACTAACAACTTAATAACTACCGTGCAATTAGTGATATATAGCTATAATAAATGACGGTCTTTATTAGCCCATGTTCATAACATAAAACTTAAAATTTTTGTTAGGTGCTCCTACCGAGTACTAACCAGTAACCTACTGGTACACATTATTATTTTACCATCATAAAAAAATATTAGATGATTATAGTGAAGCCGGAGTCACACTGCCGCGCAAAACGTTAGCGAACATGTCCGCTAAAATGTTTGGTAGGTACTCTATGGGAAACATCAAACAACAATGAAATGTTGTGGAAAAGTACACAAAAACCCATGTAATTGACGAACGTTTTACGCAGCTCTGTAGACCGGGCTTAAGATTTTACAAAAATAATTGTAATCGGTAATACAAATTGTTATATAATATTCAGTGTTATCTGTACGCTAAGGAAGCCCCTTGATGTTAAAAACAACCTTACCAAAAATAACACCAATAAAAAATATAATATAATAAATAGAAAAAAATTACTTTTTTTTTATTAGAAAATTTCTGTTATAACTTATAATTTTTAAATAATATATATTTTGTAAACCAGTTTTAAAAAGAGGTTCTTTTCTATTAACAATAGGTATTTTGAAATAAGGTTGGAATTTGAATATCTTTAGGGAACAATTAAATTAAACAAACAATAAAATTTTCAATTTTTATGAAATTGTTTGTCATCCAAATGCTAGAGAACTTAAGAAAAAAATTAGTTTCCTTGGACACCATTTTTTACAGCCATATAAATAGCTATGTATCTACTGTAGTCTGTAAATTAGTTTTAAGCAACACATCTAGTATCAATACATGAACATTTTTTAAAACTGTACCTAACGAATAAAACAAATTGTAAAGGCATCAACTGTAGTCATAGGCCATGACTAAATGTTTTTTTTTTTTAATAAGAAACCTAAGACATAAATAATTATACAAATACAATAACAGTACATAATTTTATTATTAATTAAGTATTTTTAACATATAAATGATCTCAGAAACATGTCTATATATATTCTTTTAAGGTGTTAACAGTTTCTGATTAAATTGATTTGGTATAATAGATCGTAAGGCCAACCATGTCATATATCCAGTCATCCCCCAAATTCTTTGATATTTATTCAAATATACAGGTAATACAATTATTTTGTTATTATTTTGTTTAAAACAAGTAAATTTACAGTTGGTTGGTTCACAAAAGTGTTTAAGAGGAACAGCAAATGCATACTGAACTTCTTCATGACTAACATTTAATTTCTTTGGATCAATTACACCTAGATTTCCTAAGAATGGCATTATTGCTATATCTCTAGAAATCAAAAATTTACCATGACCCCAAATATCAACATCAGAATCTTTAATTCCAAGTTCTTCACAGGTTTCCCTTAAGGCAGTATTATGAAGATCTTCTTCCATTTCTCTCATTCCTCCGGGAAATGACACTTGCCCACTGTTTCGTTTCAAATTATTTGTTCTTAATGTATAGAGTAGTGATACTTCATTGTCAACATAACATAATGGAATAAGAACAGCAGCTTGACGTTTACCATCTATTTTGCGTTGTGGACACATAGATGTTAAAGATTTCACATATTTTAGAGAATTTTCTTTCATCAATACGTCTTTAAAGTCAAAACTCATACATCTAGATAATATGCAATGTAATGAACAAAACTTGGAAAATATAGGCAAATACTTAATATGTATTGTTTGCATTATAAATTTTAACAATGGTAATATTTTCTAACACAATTAAAAAAAAAAAAATACGTAGGTAAGTGACCTACTTATTTGGTAAAATAATGAATATACATTAACAAAATCTTATCATACTAACTACTTTATTTCAAGTTTTCAGGTTTTTTTAAAAATTATTTAAAAATATATAATATTACAAACAATACAATGTAATAAATTCGTGTTAATTTAAAGTTTTGACAATTTTAAAGGCCTTAACCGTTTTTAACAATAACAAACATAACTCAGTTATATTACTTGATTGGTAACTAAATTATCACAGGTAAATATTTAAAAAAACATTTTAAATTCGTCTAACAATAATATAAACATTTTGTTATTTACACATGGTCCTAAAATCTAAATAGTAAAAAATATAATGAAATATGAATACTATCTGTTATCATTATTCATAAAATCACTATACACCATGACCATTTTTCAATTCATAAAACGAAGCTCGAATATAATACATTTTAATTTGGATTATTAACAACTAACCTCAATAATAGTCAACTTTAACCTGTAAATAATAAATATTAAATAATAAAACTAAATCAACAGTTAATATTTGATAAAATAATTATGGATCAATATAAAACATAAATATTTATAAATTAGGCTGTGTATTTTAAATTCTAGTCTATTGCATGTCCTTGGACACACCACACAAGGTTATAACTTATAAGCTCCTAACTAGGTACTAAATGTAAATAGTATTATATAAAAGTTGCAATATATTTTCCTTAGTTTTATATATATATATATATAACATTTTTCGAAATTGTTTAAAACTTCTTATTGTCTAAAAAGAGACCTTAATTTTTTTTAATTTTTACCACTCATATTTACTCCTAAAATAGAGGGTTTTTAAAGTAGTTTTCAAGAAAAATCAATTTCTACTAGTTTTAATTTTTATCAAAATCCGACTCAAATGAGTTTTCATCTAGTTATGGTAATGGGCCGAGATTTACCTAGATTAAACTAAGATTATAGTTTAGTTCAATTATTTTTGTTTTTAACGTTATGTTATAAGCATTTAATGTTTTTTTTATGGTTTTACTAATACATTTCTTATCAATAATCAAAAATTTAGCCCCATAAAGAAAATTGTAAACTTTAGAAAAAATATTATCCGTTCAATATACACGCCAAAAAGTGACTTCTACAACAGTATTTTTTTATTACATTTTCGGTATAACTGCTAAAAATATTTTTAAAAGTTAAATGACTGGAACAACTTAAGATTGATTTATTCTTAAATAAATGAGCATATTTGAAATAATTCCTCAAGTTAAATAGTATTACATAGTATACGATTTAAGCTATAATTAAGATTTAAAGCCGTAAAACACGGCTCTACCAACAACCGTAGATGTAAAGGTTTTACTATTGTAGACCTTACAAAATATAAGGTACATATTATATGCACAGAACAAATTATTCTGCGGTACATGTAAGTATGAGGGCTTTACGTAAATGTAGTAAAGGTTTACAAAAATGTATATTATTTTATGTGCTACATTTCAAACTATTGTGAATATGGCCACACTGATAACTGAATGTAAATGAATAGGTATGATTGCATTGAACGAATTCTCGTGACATATGCGCACTGTGCCCATAAATACACGTTCCCCGCACTGCATCGCCGCCCGGTTCGCCGCTTTTCATTGGTCGTGAATATCATGAAAATACTGCTATAGTATGTTAATTTTGACAATGTAACGTCCAATCAAATGCGTCGAACTAGCTGGTCGATGGCGCAAGAAGGAGGGTATGCGTATCACGAAATTGTGAACATACCTATTGCAGTAGTCAAATGTCAATCGTCGTGCAATGAACTTTCTCGAAATTTCGTCAAGTCGTAAACCAATGTTGTGACTTGTGATTGTGTGAGTTCTCAACCTTTTGTTTGCCAAGCCTTCACTATATTCATAAGGTAGTTGTTGTCTGTTGGTTGATAATTAAAACGCGATGGTCATAATATTATTATCGCTTTATCAATTGTTCTGTTTACAGAGTTGAGAGTTTTCATATTCTATGGTCAATGTTAATAGAAGCTAAACAATTTGCAAGTGAACATTTCAAAGGAACGTTCTAAAATTTAACGCGTCAGAAAATACATTCCAATATACGAATCAGCAATAAATCGAACAGCTTTACTCTCTTGGCCTTTACAACAAAACAAACTAGACATGTTTCCTTCATTGATGTCAGATATGTTCGGTAATAGATACGGGTATGTACGCTTTTTTTTTTTTTTAGACACATAAGTAGTGGTTGTTACAGCTAACATATAAACACAAACAAATTGGCGTCTTACGGTGTTTAGGTCATGTAATGTCAATGAAATTGATTTTTCAAAACTTTCCACACGTATGTATTGAGAAAGAGATTTTTTTGGGAAAATAGTGTACTGTATTTTTAAAATAAAAAAATGTATTCTTAAGGTGTTTTTCTTGATTTTGAAGATCTATATCTTAGTTATATATGCCCATTGGTTAATGAAAAAATTGGTTTAGTTAAAAAGTTTTTATGGGTTTAGATACTCATAAAAAAAAAATTGTTAATCCAATACCTTCTCAGATTCATATCAAAGCTATAAATTAAAAATTTATATTTTGATGCTGAAAACTACCTATGTTAAAATCAAATTAAAGCAGTTTAAAGTATTTAAATGTCAAATACTTGGTGTCACACACCCTTACATCAATGAACATTTGTATACCAATTATATGACCTAGATTAAATGGGTTAGGTAAGAGGCTGAAAGGTTGATCGCCTTCATAGCTACTAAGGTTTGGGGCAGTGTTACCGAACTAAAATTTAGTAAGAGCGGCAAAAAAATATAGACACACACGTCAAGGTTAGGTTAGGTAAAAAAAGTATCGTCAAGTTTATTTTCATGACCCACCCCTCCACCTCCACTCTAACAAGGAGGCTATCACCACCCCTGAGGATCAGGTTTAGGGGCCATATAAATTAACCGAGAAGAATTGATTTTCATGTAAATAGTGGGTGAAATAGAATAATCGCTCGAGCCTATTTACTTTTGAAAGTATCGGCACAACTTGCAAAGTTCAGAAATTCAATTTTTAGGGAACTAAATTTAAACACAAGACATTTTTTCTGACTTGAGAAATTGCTTGTGTGGCACAGTGAAAAAATATAGTTTCAGTTTTGTGTTAATGATAATATATATATATATATAGGGTTTCTATTTTTTTATAATAATTAGAACTTTTTATTTTATCATTTTGTTCAACTTGAACTGTTTAAATTACAGGCAACGTGGTATGAATCCAATGGAGTCAATAATGAATTCGGTTTTTGGCGGAGAAATGCATAATGATATGAGCAGTATGATGATGCCTTTTGGAGGTACTTTTCCTTTTGGCTCAATGATGCCTCCTAATCCAATGATGAATGGTATGAATAATGCAATGTCCATGATGGGTAATAGTAACGGTATGGGCCAATCCTTCAGCAGCACAACGTTTATGTCATATTCGTCAAACGGACCTAACGGCCAACCTCAGGTTTATACTTACGTTATTTTTTATATATTATACTTAAGGCTACCTTTCAAAATAATTAGAAACTTGTGCTAGGGCGACATTTATTATAACATTGCTTACATATCGCACACCTAGATCAAAACTGTAGCATTTCAAAAAACACCTTTTTTCAGGAATTCCAAAAAACTTATTTTCAAGTTTAATTATTTTAACTTGTTAATTAAACTTAAACTGTTTATTTTAATATAACAGTTTTGTACAACAAACGTACATGCACTCAGCTTGATGTCTGGGCAGAAACTTAAGTTTTAAACGGTTTTGGTAGTTAGGATTATGGGATTAGTCATTTTTACAAAATGTACCTAAAGCGCCATATTTTGGAGAGTAATCAAGATAAATTAAAATTTGTATTGTTGGTTCATGTAACTTAGTTTGTAGAATCCGAATATATAAATAACTTAAAATACCCACTTTTAAGTTGTTACAGTTTTGATCTAGGTGTGTGATATTAAATATTGTTTTTATAGGTTTACAAAGCATCTACGTCTACACGTACAGGTCCGGGAGGTATTAGAGAAACCAAAAAAGCAGTAAGCGATTCAAGAACTGGTGTTAAGAAGTTGGCTGTTGGACACCACATCGGGGATCGTGGACATATTGTAGAGCGTCAACAAAATTTATATTCTGGCGAACAAGAAGAAAACCAAGAACTCATTAATTTAGATGATGGTTAGTATACCAGGACTTTTTTAATTAGTTACCTGTTCTTGGGTATTCATAGAGTGAAATATGTGTATGTTGTATAGTTTCAATGCATAACTTCCATGTGAAGCGTTATTTGATGAAACATATTAATATTGTTATCTTTGTTATGTTTTGTGTGTATGTATTTTTTTTTTTTTTTTTTGTATGTATTGTTTTTATTAATTTTATTTTATTCATCAGCTAAACGAGCCTTAAGGCTCAATGCTGCCATCATGAAATGATGGTTTCTAGACGGATTCCCTGTCTGGGACGGGTCGTCAGTCTGTCGCTGGAGAGGAGAATGGTAGCTCCTATTCACCAGACGATTGCTTGCCCGGCAAATAAATAGCTTAACATCATGATTGGTTTCTTTTTTTCTCGACCTAAAGAAAACCAATTACGCTACCATAAGTAATTATATCAAAGTTATATGCTTTGATATGGTTTTATTATAAACTTAAAATATTTATAGCAAAAAGCGCTAATTACATAAACCAATTTCCTTCAACTGAATTTTTTAATTTTTTATACACAGTTAAATTTATAAAATGTATGGTTTATGGATATGTATTTTTTTTTTAGATGAAGCTGAACAATTTAACAATGAATGGCGCCAAAAAGCACAATCCGTGAACTCTCATCGTACTCGTTATGTACCATATGCTCCAAGGTAAATATATATATTGTTATAGTCTTACAAAAATATTTTAAGAGATAAGACAATTTTTTAAGGGGTTAAGTTTATGACAATTTTACTTAATTACCCTAACTTTTTGCTAAAGTTATTTAGTTCCCAAGAAACCAGGTATAGTAAGTTAATAATAATGAATACGTAGTCAGAGCTTGTTTGAAAAATGGAATGGTGCTTTTATTTAATTAGTATGATCTGCATAAATATAAGATATTTAAAATTATAATATTAAATTTTAAATGTTTTATAGTGCTTAAATGTTATTATGTTTTGTGATAGTTGTTTTAAATAAAATGGTATACTTGTTGCTATGAAACTAATTACATCAGATTAGGTACAATTTGTCTCAGAAAAACTTTAAGGCTTCAACAGTTTTGTTTAAAATAAGTATGACAAATAGGGTATATGAATAAAAAATCTATAACAACTCTCCTCGAGTTTATTAGAGAGGTTTATCGGCTTTTTAGAAAATTCCAAAAATGTTTTTAAGGAATAATTTAGTTAAGTTATTTGAATTAATTTTATAAACTGGTTTTCCTATTACAATGTTTTTAAGCATAATATTTTCATTGAATATTATTTGTACTGGTGATGGGAATTTGAAAATTCGGATTTTCACAAACCCTATTTTAGCCATTTAAAAGTATTCTAAATACTGTTTATACATACATTATTCAAGTGAAACGTTTTGATGTAAATAAAAAAATAATTAAAAAAACGAAAAGCTACTTCGGATTTCTTAAAACCGAAAGCAATTTATTGTCAAGGTTAAGACATTTTGTTTTTTTTTTTTATCAAAACATTCTACTTATGTACACAGCTTTTTATAGTAATAATATTTAGTATTCATAAGATTTTAAATGGCTTAAATAGCGATTTTTGTGAAAATCTGGATTTTCGGTTTCCCAACACTAATTTGAATGCAATTTTAAGTTATTACCCTTTTACATAGAAATCAAATTTGACTTGATCTTGTTGGCGCAGAAAAAAAAGTAACAATTGTAAACAACCTACAAAATTGGGTCAGGACATTGTTTTACTTTGAATGATTCTTCAAAAAGCAATCATAATTGCGTATACTTGGCTTAAAATAAAAACAACAATATTGTAGTTCCAATGATCGGTTGATGCATCGCAAAAATTCCTATTAAATTGATATTAAACTTGTAAATGGCTAAAATTGACTTGTGCCCAGACGATGTCTACATTATGTTTTGATTTATCAGCTCTAAAAATCGTTTTTTGCCTTACACAAAATACTCATTTTTTTAAACAAAAGCATTATTACATATAGATAAACATTAAACTCTTTTTCGAAACAACCTGTATTCTATTTTCACACACATTTTATTTGCATGGGTTTTTTTTTTTTAGTTTGGACTATATTATTACAGATTGTAGAAGTATCAATTGTAGCAATATTTAGTACAAGAAAATATTATATTTTTGTGCTATTCGTTGATTATTTAGCAATTTAGAATATAATTTTACTTTTCTAATGCATGTAAATAAATTTGAACAGGTGTATCTGGTAAAATTAGTTGTAATTATATAATTTATTTTTCTTTTATTCTTGCTTTTATTTTTCATAGAATTCAAAATTCTTCATCACATTCCCGTAGAAAACAAATGAAAGCCTTACCGTCTACAACATCACATACCAAGTAAGTTTGAAATTACTGTAACCCAAATTATTGGTTTTGATGTTTTGACAATATTATTATTGCCTCTAATAATGACGTTTTGTTGAACTGTAGGAAGGTCATAATATATATTTGAGACATTTTATGTTTTCTACTATGGCACATAACCGGAAAAAATAACACTTTTTTAACTACAACTTCGTGTTCTAACCTTACTTTTTGTTAAAGAAATTAGTAATTGATAGACTAATACTACTCAGATTTATTAACATTTAGTAGTCTAGCTGATAAAATGTGTGAAATAATTTATTATATGATAAGAATTATAATAATTAATGTATTTTAGCGTTATATAATTTAAGAGTTTAAATTAAGCTTTTTATATTTTTTCTTTATAACATATAAACAAATTTAGTCATAATTTAAAAGTGTAACTAGGTAGAGTAAATCCTGCAAAATATAAAGAAATAATGATACTTTTCTTAGAAGGCTTTCCATCAAATGCACTATGCCGCGAATTACTCAGTTCACTCTGTATGATTAATTAAAAATAATTATCCAGAGTGAATCATCATAAATCAAACCAAACCGTTTACATTGTTCATCGTAAACAGGTGTGTTAATCATCAAAAATGGATTTGTTTTATAAAAATTAGAACAAATGATTATTTTTTATGAAACGACGATAAATGTTATGGCATACTCCATAGGCCATAAAATATCAAATTGGACATAACATTGTCTATAACTTTTTTTAATGATGTATACTTGCTAGTTGTGTTACTATAATGCCTATTATAAAAATCGGTTTTGGTCCACTGTGTAATTTATGCCATTTTTCCTTTTCGCTGTCATCTCTTGCATTATATAATTATTTTGTTTTTTATGTGAATATTTAATGTTTTTCATTTATTTATTAATTGTTATTATTTTTTTAAAGCGGAGATATACTGGCTATTGAAGGACAAAAACCCATCGAGTCTGGAAGGAAACGGTCATCCAAACAACGTTCTCAGAAAAAATCCAATAATTAATCTGCAAGATTTATGAATGGCTTGTAAATGGTTTCTCTCCTTGTTAATTATAATTATATACAGACGGTCACAAACGTGTGTTTTCTCATAATCGTATTATTAGCTTTGGTTTTTCTCATATAATTTTATGTTTATACAAGATATTACAACAATGTAAGAATGATGTAATTATTTTACTTCTAATATTATTATCTATTAGTATACATTTTAATTTTTATGTACTTAGATAACTCATAAATTTAGGTACTTAGTTTTGAGCTGGCTTAACAGCTTTTTTTATGACTGCTATAAATGTACGACTATTCATTTTTTTTATATAATTAGCTTCTTATAATAGGTTTACAATTTGGATAAGGAAAAAAAATTACAATTTATTCACGGATATATGTTGTTTATTGAAAATCATAAATGTTTGTATAATTATAAGTTAAAATAATAAATATAATTCATCGAACACTAAATGAGAGTATGATTAAATAAATGTTTAATTAAATTCCCTTAAAAATTTAGTAGTTAATAGCATAATTTATAAGTTAATTAAAATAAAATTAATAAATGTGGGAAATAGTTAATATGCGTTAAAGACATATTTAAAAACATTAAACCAATAAATAATACCCAAAAAATAAATTATGAAATAATAGTTATTGAACATAATAACAGTGTAAAATGATTTATCCGGATAAAGTATAGTTACTAATGCCTTCTTTGTTATTGTTTTCATCTACTCCAAGTTGGAATATGTCGTCATTGATCTTGCACATGTGTTCCAGAAATTCTTTGTTTTCCAATATTTTAGAAAGTGCCGATAAAGTATTGCAAAATTGAATTTTTGTCAATTTAAGATATTTGCTACATTGATGTAATATTTTTTCAACGGCAGGTTCAATTTCCTTAAAAAAAAAAAAAAATAATAATTTCTACAATGTAACTAAAAACAAAAACCTTAATAAAGTTTTTAAAAAAATATACGAATATATATTTACATTGAATGAAGTGAAAACGGTAGATGGTACTTTGATGCGATGTTTTATTTCTGGATTTTCTTCATCGTCACAGAATAATGTAAATGCTGACTGATAAGCCACTTTAAAATAAATACCGGCCAACAAATGTCCTTTCTTATCAGTAGCCAACAAACTCCTAAAGTTGTAAACTAAGTTCCGACGTTCGGTGACGCAAACTGGAGAATGATACGAAGCGCCTACGTAAACTAAGTTTGTTTCTGGTTTTGGAGAGCCATTCCAAACTGACCATTGCACATACTTTCCACCGACCATGGTCTGATAACAGTATTCCTTTTGCGGGCACGACGACGGTACAAAACGGCCTAAATTAATTGATAAATAAATAAGTATGATTATGGCGATAAAAATTAGGAATATTTACCTGTATGAGGATACTGCTGATCATTCATCACAGTAATGACTCTACCAATTTGATAACCCGGGTCTAACAAAATCACTCCGCAGCGTCCAGCTATTTCAATTTGCATGGCAACCATAACATGTTCTTTGTCACTTACCCATGGATCTGGGTAATCATTGCTTATATATCCCTCATGACTCTAAACAAAATATAAAATATATGTTAACTTTTATAAAAGCTGTCACACCTAATTTATTAATTAGAATTATTTATTTAATTCGTATAACAAGAAAAAAAAGTGAATCCCTCACAAACGTACACAGAGAATGTAAGCCACGACATATATACACCAACACTCTATCACCTAACTAATCTTACACCTATTCACCAATCCGCTTTCAATGTCAGTAAAAGGATTATTTTATCATACGAGTGGAACAGCGACCTCCCAACAAAACTCACCTCTATAGACTCTTCGCATGAAACCATGTATAAACTTTCTCTAACGCCAGGGAATCGGTCATTAAGCAGTGCTAACTTTCCAATCAATAGTAGAGCAAGTCCAACGCATGTATTTGCATCTTTCGTCAATGGTGGTTGGTATTCTCTGAAGAAATCCTCCAAAGTTTCTGATTTTTCATTTTTATATTCATTATAAAATCTGAAAACATTTAACATTCAATAAACATTTTAAAAATTGTAACTGTAATCAAGGAGTGAAAACAGGTACAAAAACAGGTGTCCACAGAAAATGTAAAATGTTTTAAAAACCGAAGCCAAAAAGAAACAGTTTTTAAACATGGATACTTTAAAAACAGTTTATTTTGAAATTACAAAACCGTTTCTTTACCTGAAACCCCAAAAGTTTGTACCAGTTTCAATTTCCCGATATATATATATATATATTACTATTTTAATATTAAAAAACACAATAGTCTTACTTAATGAAATTGGTCACTGAATCATAGTTGTATGTGTTTAACAGTGTTTGTAAGTCATGTTCAAATTGAATGGTCAACTCTTCGTATTCCTCGATAGAGTTGACCATATGAGGTGGCCTTGAGCTACCCCATTGCGGCAAGGGCACTGGCTGACCAACTGGCCAGTCTGGCTCCCGGCCATAGCTCAGCCAGAACGCATAAGCTTCATCGGTGTGGTTGTTAAGAGTGGGCCTAGTTTCGAGTCAACTTGGCCACTCGTTTCCCCATCTGCCCACGGTCGGTATGTAGCTGGATTCATCCCTGTAGCAGCTGTCTGCAGCAGCTCCAACAGGCCCTTCTACTTCTAGTAATTTTTTCTCACGCTCTGATGTTCATAAAATTAAAAATATATACATATATATAATTAATATCATATTCTAATAAAAAACCGACAACATAATAATCCTTAAAAACTTGCACATTTTCTACTTTTGATATTATATAAAAATAGGGCACACCTATATCCAGTAAATGTTTAAAAATAATAAAAATAGGTGTTAAACACAAAGCGCTAAAATTAATTAAAATTATTATTCAATAAATTATACTATTTATCTTTCAGAAAAATATGTTTTTTATCGTGTAAGCAAAATGCAATAACAAAAGCCCTATCAACATACTGCATGATAACGTAAAAGTGAATACCTAGAATGATTATGGTGTACATCAAGGTTACTAAATTTATTTATGAGTCATGGCACAATAATTTATCTTGAGCATAGTGAAAGTATAAAAAAAAACTAAATTTTACAATACCGACAATTAATATACTCGCGACACATTTGAATCCCGAAAGGATTCATTGACAATGCAAACGCCAAACGACACGAAATTGTTTATGATCGTTGAAATCGGTTAACGATACAATTATAACAATAATTTTTAATGTATAAAAAATAAAATCAAAGCTATAAAATTTACATCGGAACCCCAGTTAACTAATTGTGGTAACAATTATTCATAAGTAAATGTTTTAAACTATGTACCCAGTTCAATTTTAACAATATCAAGTATAATATAGGCTTTTCAACGCTTACCCATACAATGAAAACCCAAGACTTGAAAGATATTTTTTTTTCACTCGCGTTCGATCACACTAAAATGTAAATTCACACTAATGCGAGTAACGGTTTAACAAAAATATTTATACGATTCCCGACGCAGCGTTTGCGGGGGGACTGGTTCGGTTAAGACTCCACTTAAGGCAAATGGGAGGAGGGGGGGGGGGAGACGAAAAAAAATAGTAACTAAGAAACCGTCAAGAGCGAATAAACACTCGGAGATATTGCGCACTAATTGCAGCGGTTAATCGAGCGCACGCACTTCAACAACAATAATAATTAACACACACGGAGGCGGCACGACAACGGCGATAAGATAAAACGTGAAGTCCAACAGTAACAATTGTATTGTAATATAACAGAAGCGGGACGTTCATGTGGGGATATCATAATACCGTCGTCCCGGTTTTTTATTCACGTGGCACACGCACGGATTTGCATCGGTTCGACATTAGGCTCGCACGAAACGCGCACACACTATCGACAGCTAGTCACAGCTCGCAAAACAAGAAGTACACACTCTCACGCGCGCACACACACACACACACACACACGGCAAACAGATTTACCGACGGGCGACGATTTCGCAACACGATTTCGTGTCGAGCGCACACGACACGTCGGCTGAACGCAAAACAATAGTAAAATCAAAAGTCTTGGACGTCGACCCTAAACTACCGCGGACGCGGCTCGGTGGGCGCCGGAAACGCTTTTAAAAATGTACAACAGTGCCGTGGCCAGTCGCCATGTCTGTCGTTGCTCGACTTCTGGTTTTTGCAAAGATTATGCTCTGCTGATAACAGCTGCTGCTGCTGCTCAGTGCTCTACTAAACTGTGTAGGGAGTAGATAAGAAAAAAAAAGGTCGGAAACCATCGTTTTGCGCAAACGACGAGGGAAACAATGCGCGGAAAGTCTAAAACGGCAGTGCAGCCATTGTGCCCAATTCAAAACTGCCAAAAACCGCGGTTTATTATTTTTTTTGTTCAAGAATTTTCAACCCGACTTTAGTAATTATAAGATTTATTAATCAAATCAATAAGAAACCACTTAGTTTATCCAATGCACGGAATAATGGTTATACGTGGCCTTTTTTTTATTAACTATGTCTAGCCAATCGAGATCGCTGGCCGCGCGTTCGATAATTACATAATATTACCTATATTATATAATAACGTAATAAACGATTTTCCACATTTTATATAGTACCTATTGAATCTATTTAAAAATGAATCCATTTGATATTTCCCTAGATGTTATTTTACATATTATGGGTATTTTTCTCGGAAATGAGTAGTTACAGTAGTATTAGGCAGATGTTTTATGTAATTAATATCAATTCCCATAACTGGGCGACATAAAGAATAATTAACGTGGGCGATAATTATTCATATTAAAGTTGATGAATGGATGATGTCATTTTTAACAAGCGCACGACAGTTAACAATTTATTTCACTTTGAGTAAACAAACAAAACAATTATAAACAAACGAGTTTAAAAATAATAACAATATACCTATAATAGTTTGAGATCAAAATTATCTGCTTAGATCAGCTTATCAGTTTGTCAAAGGTTTCAGAGCACAAACATCCATTATCAAATATAATGATTTTAAGAGCTAATATTTTTTAGGTGGACTGTGATAGCCACGCTCGCCCTCACGTGCTTGCCTTATTGACCTACAGCATTTATGATTATGTTATTATTATACCTACCTATTGTTAAGTCCATAGTTTCTAATAGCGTATTTTTCACATAGAGAAAAACGAATTTTACTTTTGGTTTTTTACCATTGCACCCTTTCCCCGAGAAAGAATCGAGAATCACCATTAAAATGTATATTATATTTTAACTTTAAAGTACCCACCTACTACAGCACGTCATAACTTACAGAAAAGTTATATTATTTTAAATAACAAATATGTGGTAGGAAAGAAAAAGTCGGTTTATCACTTTTTCCATCATTCAAAAAAATACACGTTTATTGATACTAAAATTCTAAAACTGTTTTGCTATTTCTATAAATATTAGAATTAAAATATAACTGGCGAAGTTAAATTTTAAAGACTTAGTTCAAAAACCAAACAAGTCACAATTTTCTTATTTTCGAGGGTGTTGTGGTAAAAATACAACTATTTATACGATTTACTTCAATTGTAGAAAAAAAATAATAATAACAATAATTCAATTGTAGAAATAAAAATAATAATAAACTGTGATATCTTTGCCGGTAATAGTTGGATTTGTCTGGTTGTTGCACCCAACACCTCATTTGTTTTTATCCAGTGTATTGTAAATTATTGTGGCCCATACAATTTTTTTTTTTAATTGAATGCAAGAATTTTGATTTTGAAATTTGTTTCAAGTAGCATTCATACAGGACTGGGAATTAATTTTTACATGTCATAACATACTTACATAAAACTACTATTTTACCTTTGTACGATATTGTAAGGTACTTATTATTATATTTTAGTGTCGACGCGAAGCCCAGATTTTCAATATCATATTAATTAACCAATAGTTATATTTGTAAAGTCGTATACTTAAAAAGGTGAATGTACTAATTACTGTAATTATATATGTCTGTAGGCATATAAATATTATTAAGTACTTAGCATACCAAGTGTGTTAACCTTGTAAACAGTTGTTTTGTACTAGATTCACTTTAATAATATAATTACGACGCATTTGATTACCATGAATTGATATTTGATATGCAAATATATATGACCCACTCGGCACTCAGTAATCACAGTTATACATTTATCTCGAGTTTCGAGTGAATTGGGATCGACTTGGTTTTAAATTTTGCGTGTAAATATTTTGCACGTGACCGAAGTGTTGTTTAAAATACAAATTAAACAAATCGCTTTACTAACTGTCAAATTGGATAGTGGATACTACAGTATAGCGTAACCAAGTACGTGTAAGGTAAACAAATAGGCCACGTGTTGTCCCATTCTGAATAATAATTATTGCGCCAATTAAAAGTTTGTAATAATATGAATATCACATGTATGCTGTATGATAAATTGTTTGTTTACTTTTTTTTTTAGTTAAAAACAAAAGTATGGATTATTTTTTAAAAGATAATAGACCAATGATACACAAAAAACATTACATATATTATTATCAATCTTTTGTTTACTAATCCTTCTTGGATACAAAGTCAAAAGTCCTTCGACACGATTAAATTAATTGCTTTGGCTAAAATGTTCACGCATATTTTACCTGATCAAATAATCTTAAGTTTTATGTACATATAAGTAAAATTAATTGAAATTAATTACCCGTAAAAACAGCAAGGGTTTTCTCGGTAAATACAAATGTGTTTTAAGCCAACTTAAAACGATTTTAGAATATATTAACTTGTTATATAATTTATCAAAATGAATAGTTTATTTATTTATTTTTATTTATTTAAAGTTCTAGTTTAAGAAATATACAATGAACAAATTGTTTACAAATAGATTATTACTAGAAATTACTCTACACCGAGGTTGAACCTCGTGTCGTAGAGTAAGAGTACTTAATTTATTTAAGTTTAAATTTTGTAATAAATTAAGTACTCTTACTCTACGACACGAGGTTAGACCTCGGTGTTGAGTAATTTCTAGTAATAATCTATTTGTAAACAATTTGTTCATATAATTGTTCATTCAATATATATATATATATATATATATTTTTTTTTTTTTTAATCCAAACATTTGTGAGTGCAGTAGACAAGTACATTCTCAAAACCAGTTAGGTTAGGAAAAATATCATAGTAAACTTTTCTTTTTTGATAAAATAAAATATGTTTTTATGTCGAACCAAGGGAATCTTCAGTCAAGAATCAAGATCATAAGTTTAAAATAGTTACATTCATCGTTCAATTTCAGAATAAAAACGGCATGCAAATATGCAATATTTTTACAACTCTCACTTACTGATATCTGATTCGACATCAGGTTGCTTGAATAAACAAGGAACGTGCATAAGATAATAAACTATTAATATTTAAGTCTGTTATCGCAGAGTTAAAGACTGTGTACTTGACAGTGGCATAACTAGGTACCTCTGCATTGCATGAATAGGGGCGAGGCGCCACGATTTCTAATATATAAAGGGACACCAACAGCCGAAAAAAATAAAAATATATTAACTGATTATTAACAAATGTTTGCAGGGAGGCGCAAATTTCGTAGTTAGGCCACTAGTACTTAACGCCACGGTCAGCGCCCCTTATATGATTTAAAATTAAGGCCTAGGTCTGCTTGGTCTACACTTTAATCTGCCACTGAAAAATAAACCGTTTTGACTTTTTAATACAACAGCGTTTACAGTTCTGATGTGTATTGTGTACAAACAGTCATACACATTATATTGACTATAACCATTAGATACCTTTTGTTTTCATATAAAATATGTTTGTTTAATGATGTAATTGATGCCACTTTTATGTTTTTGCGTCACATACTATAGTATCTAAGTAGATACATTTTCAGCGTGCCATTCGCATGACGTATACAATTACAAATATGACATTCTATAGAAATTTTCTTTATTTAGCGACTTCCTATTCTAAAATTGTACACCGCGTCTGTGTGATTTTCATTTATAATGTCTACTACACGGTCTACTATAAATTGTAGTTATAATACAAATAATAATAATAATAATAATAATCATTACCTACAGTAACCTGCCTAAGATTTTATATGATTGAGATTTATCATGAAATAGGTATCAAATCTTCAGGTATTTTTAATTATTATAAAATAATTAATAATGTTTGTTAATTTATTGTAGATAATATATATATATTAGTTTTAATAAAATGAAAACGTTATTTTTAGTGACGCGGTCGTGTAAAGACTGTTTTCATAAATTGATGTAAAATATACATTTTTTAATTTATATAAAATTGTTTTTATATTGTTGATCAACACATATTCATGTTATTCTTTTTTATAATACCATACAAAGAACAAAATATTGTTTTGTATTTAGTGTATATTTTACGTAGCTGTTGATTTACTTAACATACATGAACTGATGAACATCTGGCACGCAATCTAATGACAATGAAACCTACATTTAACATTATTTAGTATGAATTTAACCTTTACGGCTTTAAGTATGTAACATAAAACAAATATGGTATGCTACTAGACAAAATAAACATCCTAAGCACTGAAAACATCTATACAAGACACATTGTTATCTACGTTAGTATCTTAAGTTAAAAAAAAAAAAATATATAAATATATATAAATATATTGAATGAACAATTATATGAACAAATTGTTTACAAATAGATTATTACTAGAAATTACTCAACACCGAGGTCTGAACCTCGTGTCGTAGAGTAAGAGTACTTAATTTATTACAAAATTTAAACTTAAATAAATTAAGTACTCTTACTCTACGACACGAGGTAAGACCTCGGTGTTGAGTAATTTCTAGTAATAATCTATTTGTAAACAATTTGTTCATATAATTGTTCATTCAATATATTTATATATATATATATTTTTTTTTTTTTTAATCCAAACATTTGTGAGTGCAGTAGACAAGTACATTCTCAAAACCAGTTAGGTTAGGAAAAATATCATAGTAAACTTTTCTTTTTTGATAAAATAAAATATTTTTTTATGTCGAACCAAGGGAATCTTCAGTCAAGAATCAAGATCATAAGTTTAAAATAGTTACATTCATCGTTCAATTTCAGA